TTAACCAGTGGAACCACCTGCCTCCTGAAGCTGTAAATGCTCCAACCCTGGAAGTTTTTAAGAAGAGACTGGACAGCCATTTGTCCGAAATGGTATAGGGCAGGGGTAGGCAACCTTGGCCCTTTTATGACTCGTGGACTTCAACTTCCAGGATTCCTGAGTCAGCCACGCTGAGGGGAAAGGGAGAGGTTTCCAAGCTGAGCCATGCTGGCTCAGGAATTCTGGGAGTTGAAGTCCATGAGTCATAAAGCGGGCTAGGCCTAGGCTAGAGGTAGGCCACCTTGGCTCTTTTATGACTCGTGGACTTCAACTCCCAGAATTCCCGAGCCAGCCATGCTGAGGGGAAAGGGAGAGGTTTCCAAGCTGAGCCATGCTGGCTCAGGAATTCTGGGAGTTGAAGTCCATGAGTCATAAAGCGGGCTAGGCCTAGGCTAGAGGTAGGCCACCTTGGCTCTTTTATGACTCGTGGACTTCAACTCTCAGAATTCCCGAGCCAGCCATGCTGAGGGGAAAGGGAGAGGTTTCCAAGCTGAGCCATGCTGGCTCAGGAATTCTGGGAGTTGAAGTCCACGAGTCATAGAAGAGCCAAGGTTGCCTACCCCTGGTATAGGGTTTCCTGCCTGAGCAGGGGGTTGGACTAGATGACCTCCAAGGTCCCTTCCAACAACAACAACATCATCATCATCATCATCATCATTATTATTATTATTACTATGTGCCTTGCATCTCATTAAACGGTTTGAACCAGACTCCAATCCGCAAACCTTGCACCTGGGTAGCTGCTGCGGTCATCCAGCCTAAGAAGAGCCACCACATTTACTGACCCTTCTTGACATAGGTTGTCCTTTTTCATATGGACATAACTGAGAGGCACCATTTCCGTTTGCTAAGCGAGACAGTTGTTCGCTGAGTTTTGCCCCGTTTTACGACCTTTCTTGCCACCGTCGTTAAGAGAATCGCCGCAGTTGCTCAGTTTGGAATCCGGCACTCCCAGGGACTCTTTGCTTGTCGGAAGGTCACAAAAGGGGATCACAACATAACACACACACACACACAGAGACACACAAACACACACACGGGACAGTGCAACCGTCATAAATATGAAACCACTTGTCATGCGTCCGGATTTTGATCACGTGACCATGGGGATAAATCACTTTTCCCCCCAGTGCCTTTGAATGAACAGTTACAACTTGAGGATTCTCCGTTAAAGGAACTTTTGGGAAATTAACTATATGGTCTGCAGCAAGTGGGAACTCTTAGCGGACCTTGACTGATCTGCAAGGCATCTCCCAACAGTGCCCCCATCACTACTTCAACTAAATCCCTCTATCTTACTCCTGGTCTTCCTCTTCTTTCTTTTCCTTCTACCTGGTTGGAAAAAATGGTTGGAAACTGACCAAAGAGAGAAGCAACCTGGAATTAAGGAGAAACATCTTAACCGTGAGGACAATTAACCAGTGGAACAGTTTGCTACCAGAAATCGTGGGCGCTCCATCACTGGACATTTTTAAGAAGAACGCTAGACAGTCATCTGTCTGAGAGGGTATAGGTTCTCCTGCATGAGCTGGGGGCTGGACTAGAAGTCCTCTAAGGTCCCTTCCAGCTCTGTTCTGCTTCTATTCTATTCTGTTCTGTTCTGTTCATATTCTGTTCTGTTCTATTCTATTCTATTCATATTATTTCATTCTATTCTATTCATATTATTCTGTTCTATTCATATTCTATTCTATTCATATTATTTCATTCTATTTTATTCTATTCTATTCTGTATCCTATTCTATCCTATATTCTATATTCTAATCATATTTTATTCTATTCATATTCTATTCATATTATTTCATTCTACTCTATTCATATTATTCTGTTCTATTCATATTCTACTCTATTCATATTATTTCATTCTATTCTATTCTATTCATATTATTCTGTTCTATTCATATTCTATTCATATTATTTCATTCTATTCTATTCTGTTCTGTTCTATTCATATTATTTCATTCTATTCTATTCTATTCATATTATTATATTCTATTCATATTCTATTCATATTATTTCATTCTATTCTATTCATATTATTGTGTTCTGTTCTATTCTACTCTATTCATATTATTTCATTCTATTCCACTCCACTCCATTCCATTCCATTCCACTCTCTTTCCATCATCACAATCTTACCAGAGAGTTGGGTCTTTCTATAACATCACCTCCAACCAATTTTCTCCCCTCAGGATGCCGCTATAGGGCACTGCATGCCAAAACAACTAGACACAAAGATAGTTGGTCCCCCCCCCATGCCATAAAATGGGACAAAGCTCACTCAACACATGTCTTGCTTAGCAATGGAAATTTTGGGCACAGTTTCTTGGGTATCTAATCACACTTGGCCAAAGAAAGTATTCTAATTAGAAGCAACCTGGAATTAAAGAGAAACTTCCTAACAGCGAGGACAATTAACCAGTGGAACAGCTTGCCACCAGAAGTTGTGGGTGCTCCATCATTGGAGGTCTTTAAGAAGAGACTGGACTGTCACTTGTCTGAGATGATACAGGGCAGTGGTTCTCAACCTGTGGGTCGGGACCCCATTTGGAGTCAAACGACCATTTCACGGGGGTCGCCAAACAACACAGTCCGCCATTTTTTCCCCTTTTCCTTAGCTGTGCTACTCCCTTTTATTCTATTGGCTTTTGAAAACCAATAGAATAGACTCTCTTGAATAGAGTCTAATTCTATTGACTTTCAAAAGCCAATAGGAATTGTCCAGGCTGTCTCTGCCCTGCTGAGCCCGCCAAAAGTCCCATTCTGCAAATGGTGCTGCACCAGTTGAGTAGTCCTCGACTTACGACCGTTGAGTAGTCTTAGACTTACGACCGGTTGGGGGGGTCACAGCATTAAAAAGGTTGAGAACCACTGGTATAGGGTCTCCTGCTTGAACGGGGAGCTGGACTAGAAGACCTCCAAGGTCCCTTCCAGCTCAATTCTGATTCTGATGGTGGTCATAAGTTCAAGGATTGGGAATCTCGAAAGCAACTCCTTGAGATGGATGGCTTATAAATAGAATGAATCAACAAACAAGCAAACAAACTCACTTCTTTAAACAGACAGAAGTATAACTCTCCATAACTGAGCTATACGCGGCATTTAGCTGCCCAGTTTCTGCACAACTCTATCGTTGTTGTCATTATTTTAATGGCATACGAATCAGGGTCAGGCCTTCCATCCTGAAGAAATAGGATCCAGATTAAAAGAAGACCGAAGCCTAGGCAGAAATGAACTAAGGGTGGGAGCAGGAGAGAAAGATTTAAATAATTTTAAATAATTCCACCGAGGACCTGTACACTTCATGAGCCAGAAAGAAGGCCATGAAAATATGAACAAATCCCTCACATCCTGGACATAACTGTTTCAACTTCTCCCCTCAAAAACGACACTATATAGCAGTGATGGCGAACCTTTTGGAGACCGAGTGCCCAAACTGCAACCCAAAACCCACTAATACATCATCGGGTGCCGGGTGGGGTATGGCCCATTGGCTGGGTGTGGCCCATTGGCTGGGCATGGCTGCAGTGGAAACGGCAGACTGGGTGGGATTAAAAAATTCAATCCATGAATTCCAACTTTGCAAGATTTTTTTTTCCCGCAAGAAGTTGAAATTGACCGATTGGTTGAACCTTTTTTTTTTTTTTTTGTACATGGCGACGGAGGCCTAAAGCGAAAAAGTTTTATAAAACCCAGCTGAAGGCCTAGGATTGGGGCGACGGCGCGCGTGCCCACAGAGAGGGCTCTGAGTGCCACCTCTGGCACCCATGCCATAGGTTTGCCACCACTGCTATATGGCATTGCATGCCAAAACAACTAGACACAAGGATAGTTTTTCCCCCCCCCCCCCCGTGCCATCACTCTGCTAAACAACTAATTCTCACAACACTGTCAAACTATCTAGTAAGGCTGCATTACTGTTATTCTTTTCATCTTTCCTATTGCCTATCTCCTAATCTATTTAGGACTATAACTTTGTGGCTGGTATCTTAACGATTTACATTGTTTTATTTACTATCCAAGTAGATTTATGTTGATTGCTTATTTTAGTATCCTACGGATCTGCTAAGGGTTGTATCTTATGATTTATGATGAATGTATTTTTACGATGATTGTGATCTTGCTTTATCACTTACTGCTTGTATGTACACTGAGAGTTTATGCACCAGAGATAACTTCCTTGTGTGTCCAATCACACTTGGCCAATAAAGAAGAAAGAAAGAAAGAAAAAAAAGAAAGAAAGAAAGAGGAAAGAAAGAGAGAAAGAAAGAGAGAGAGAAAGAAAGAATTTCAGTTCTTTGTAGAAGTTCCTCATCAGAGTAAACTTAATTTGGGGTCAATCACTGATTAGATTAAAGAGGGATTAAGAGGTGATACCTTTCGTAGTTCGAGAGCTAGATAAAGTCCTGCTTTTTAATCTGGCCTTTTCACTACAAAATAAATTTGGTTTATCTGCAAGTAGTTCTTGATTTACAACCATAATTGAATCTACAATTTGGGTTGTACATCGTGACAGCCGTCAAGCGGACCCTCACATGACACTGACCAATTTTATGACCCTTTGTTTGTGACAGTGCTGATTGTTGGCTATGCAGGAGTGGTTTTTTTTTTTTTTTTTTTTTTTGCAAAATGTTCTAAATGACAGGTCGGGACTGGGTGACACACTGCAGATGGCCGTAACTGGGGGACATTTGCCAGGAACTCAAAATATGGTCACATGGCTGCTGGAAGAGGGGTGTGTGAACCATTAAAAGCCATTAAAACCTCAAATCCAGTTCGTCGGTAGCTTTTCCAGGGTCCGTCGTAACTTGAAACGGTCGCTAAGCAGCCAGTCCTAAATCAAGGACGAACGAAATTGCTTTTGCAATACTCAAGTTTTGATCTCCTGGAGTCTGCTCTTCGATTGGCTTTGCGTTTGAATTTTTTTCATGCTCCTGTTTTTTTTTTTTTTTTCCCACCAGGCCTGGCTGCAGCAATATGGGTATTTGCCCCCGGGCAACCTTCGCACCCACACCCAGCGTTCTCCCCAGTCGGTGTCAGCCGCAATTGCTGCCATGCAACGCTTCTACGGGCTTCGGGTGACGGGCTCAGCCGACGTGGAGACTATGAAGTGAGTGACCTTGTTTTCTCTCTCTCTCTCTCTCTCCTGCAGTGGCAAAGTCATTCACCTTTCACCAGCTTCTCTTCTTACAGAATTTAGTTTTTTGAACTCTGGAAAACAACCAAATTTCAATGAATTGGGATATTGCGACTGCTTGCTTGCCACAGAAAGGGTGCAGGAGAAGGAAAGATACCCCCCCCCCCAATTGTATGGTCTTGTAGACGTGGCTGTAGGCCTGGACCAAAAATCAGGATATTTATCTTTCTCTTACGGAATGTTAATTGATTTTCCTCTGTGTGTCTGATATAGAGAGGAAAGCATCTTTGGGATTGTCAAAACGCACCTACACCCCCATTGCAACTGGCAACGTAAGGGCATTGACTTTTCAGTCAGGTGACCAAGAATGAGTTACCAATAAGGGAGAATTATTTGTAGCTTGGGATCGAAATGACGGGGTCCCTGGTGCTCTCGAAGCTTGGCTGGTTTTTTTGCAGACATTTCACGACCCAACTAGGGAATATCCTCAGTGATAGAAGGGAGTGGGGTTTGCAGAGAGGGGGGGGGAGGAGGAGGAGGAGGAGGAGGAGGAGGAGGAGGAGGAGGAGGAGACGTCTGACTGTGCTGGTTCTTGGTGCTCTCTGAGTTTGGTTGCTTTCTAGCAGACGTTTCATGACCCAAGTAGGGAACATTATCAGTGCTGGAAGGGAGTGGGGTTTGTGGAGTAGAGGAGAAGGAGAGGAGGACAAAGAGGAGGAGGAGGAGGAAGAGAAGGAGGACTGTGAGGTCCTTGGTGCTCTCTGAGCTTGGTTGTATTTTTTGCAGACGTTTCATGACCCAACTAGAGAATATCATCAGTGCTAGAAGGGGAGTGGGGGTTGTGGAGTGAAGCAAGAGGGAGAGGAGGAGGAGGAGGAGATGGGAAGGTGTGGGAGGAGGACTGTGGGGTCCTTGGTGCTCTCTGAGCTTGGTTGCTTTCTTGCAGAGATTTCATGACCCAACTAGGGAACATCATCAGTAGTAATGGGATTTGTGGAGAAGAAGAGGAGGAGGAGGAGGAGGAGGAGAAGAAGGAGGAGGAGGAGGAGGAGGAGAAGAAGAGGAGGAGGAGGAGAAGAGGAGGAGGAGGAGGAGGAGGAGGAGAAGAGGAAGAGGAGGAGGAGGAGGAGAAGAGGAGGAGGAGGAGAGGAGGAAGAGAAGAAGAAGAAGAGGAGGAGGAGAAGAAGAGGAGGAGGAGGAGGAGGAGGAGAAGAAGAAGAGGAGGAGGAGAAGAAGAGGAGGAGGAGGAGAAGAAGAAGAGGAGGAGGAGAAGAAGAAGAGGAGGAGGAGAAGAAGAAGAAGAGGAGGAGAAGAAGAGGAGGAGGAGGAGAAGAAGAGGAGGAGGAAGAGGAGAAGAGGAGGAGGAGGAGAAGAAGAAGAGGAGGAGGAGAAGAAGAAGAAGAGGAGAAGAAGAAGAAGAGGAGAAGAAGAAGAGGAGGAGGAGGAGAAGAAGAAGAAGAGGAGGAGGAGAAGAGGAGGAGGAGGAGGAGGAGGAGGAGGAGGAGGAGGAGGAGGAGGAGGAGGAGGAGGAGGAGGAGGAGGAAAAGGGCTGTGGGGTCCTTGGTGCTCTCTGAGCTTGGTGGTTTTCTTGCAGACATCTCATGACCCAAACTAGGGAACATTATCAGTGCTCTTGGTGATGTTCCCTAATTTGGGCCATGAGACGTCTGCAAGAAAACCCCCAAGCTCAGAGAGCACCAAGGACCCCACAGTCCTCCTCTTCTTCCTCTTCTCCACAAACCCCACTCTCCTCTAGCACTGATGATGTTCCCTAGTTTGGGCCATGAGACGTCTGCAAGAAAACCCCCAAGCTTGGAGAGCACCAAGGACCCCCTCAGGAATGAGTTAAGATGGCCCGCTTTTGTTTTCCTGGAGACTCAAGAGGAGAACCTTTGGAAATCCGTCTGAATCGGAGAGCAAGGGATCCATTGTGGCTTAGATCCGAACTAAGAGGAAGGCCCTTGCTGGAACAACGGGGCACGCAAACCCAGAAATCGGCTTTTTCTAAGAAGTTCTCTAAAGCTTGCCACAAGGCTGGCAGTCAGCAGAAGATGTTATGGAACCACCTCAGATGATGTCACTGGGGGGGGGGGAGGAAGAACAGGGCTGTGGTTGTGTGTCGACGGAGGGGAACCAGATGTGAAGGCCCAGCCTTGGCGAGTGGGCAGCGTGGCTGCAGGGCATCCTGTGTTGGGGTGGCCCCTGGCAAGCCTACAAAGCAACTAGTGTCTGGTGAGGTTAGAGTTGACCAGTGGGACTCCATACCACAAGAACTTGGCAAAGGGGCAAAGCGGGGGGGGGGGGAATTGGAAATAAATCTGGGAGCAGCTTCAGACAGGAGATGATGGCTTGAGATTAGTCAACGCTGCGCTGGGGCGGGCCGAAGGGGTGACCGTCGCCGGGGTTTTTTTGGACCTAAACTAAAAGTTATTCAGGACAGGAGGAAAAGCTTCCTTGCTGTAGGCTGGAGGGTCAGTGGCCATTTTGTTAATCAGACCAAAGAAGAAGAAGAAGAAGAAGAAGAAGAAGAAGAAGAAGAAGAAGAAGAAGAAGAAGAAGAAGAAGAAGAAGAAGAAGAAGAAGAAGAAGAAGACGAAGAAGAAGAAGAAGAAGAAGAAGAAGAAGAAGAAGAAGAAGAAGAAGAAGAAGAAGAAGAAG